CACTAACAAGATAATGGCAGCTTCTATGAAAGGGCTTGATCCAGCCCTTAAAAAATACTTGAGATCAAACAAACTCCCAGATGTTTACGAGGTAAAATGAACAAAAAACGTTTATTTTATAGAGGCTAACAAACAAATTCACTTTTTTTTCAAACTGATTTTTGTATTGAGGTGATTGTTTAAATAATTTGAATTGAGGTTTGCGTTAAATGCTGATATTTGTTATTTATGAATTTACTTTGAAGGTTGTCTATGAATTCATCAAATCATCTGCATTAGTTTTTCGTTGCATCATTGATTGATGAAAATTTAAGCAAGAAACATACATGTACAAGTTTGCAAGACATTGTCATTGGTATTTCAGTTGAAAAGAAGAGTACATGTCATTTTTGTTTCATTCAGTGTTGTTTGAAAGTTAACATTTGCAATCAAACAAGTAAAGTTTTAAACTATTTTACCTGTCTATTACTTAAGTGTGCTTAATCTAGCCCTACAAATTGTGCGCTTTAGGGCATTTTATTATAGACAATGGTTGCCCTTCGCATCTATGTAATATCAGATTATAAAATCAGTCGGTCTTGCAGTCGAAATATTGAGACTATTGTGCTTCCTTATAATTTGGTTTTTATAATTTGTCAAAGTTATTTCTTTTAATTGTCACAGGATTTCAAGAATAATGTCCATTTTACTGCATTCTAAACTAAATATTGTTTTTTTCATGTTTTACAGGCATTGATAACAGGTCTAGCTGTGATGTGTCCAGATGACCCCCACCAGTTTATCATTGACAACTTAAAATACCTTTTAGAACATGGAACAGATGAATTGGAATGGTAATTTACATGATACATGTATATCACTAACTCTTAATGAACCATGCACTGATGCAGTCCGAGCTAAGTTGTCACACCAGTTACCCCACCCTTGAAGAAGTAGGGACTTTGACATTAAGGATTATCAAACCCGATATGAAGGCTTAGACAGCACTGTTGGGAATGTCAGATTGAGAATCCCACTAATGCCTCTGCATGCACTGCTGTTTGACATAATTATGTCCCTTATTTTAGGTATCATATTAATCTAGCAGTGCATGGACAGACAGAAAGGAAGAACGTCATTTCCGTAGCTATTCCTCATATTACCCCAGGGACAGGGGTGTTAATACATGTATGAAAGATCATTTATTCCTGAAATACTATGGTAGCAAATTCTTATTTAAACCAGCAGCATGTAGGATAGGAGTGTATGAATCTTCAACAGGATAAGAATAAAAGCCTTATTAGTCTAAAATTATTAGGAAGTAACTAATATGTTTCACCATTCCTAAATATGTATTGCATTGCATTTAACATGTTTTATTGCACATTGCATTTAATATGATTCGCAAATTTACAACTCAATCTCTTACATTACCACATTATAATAATTATAATAATAATACTGTAGTAATGATTTAAGTTTAATAACAAATATTTGTATGCATTTCTCCTGAGTTGAGTATATTAACTTACTATATTTGATACTCATGAGGTCGCAAGATACTTAGTGCAATGCCTCTAGAAAAATATGAGACAAAGTCTGAATCAGAATATTTTTCATATAGCTGCAGAGAAGATGAAGCTGTTTGAGAACTATTTTCTTAATAATGATTTTACCTGCCATTGCTCTCTGTGCTGATGTTCTGTAATAATGTTTCAGGGACCTTTTTGTGGCAAAATTTATGAGGCCGGTAAACAGAATTGTGTCTGAGAGCAACTTGGAGTTTATCTTCAACCTAGATGATGAGAGTATGTTGGTAAGTAAAGAAATTCAAGAAACTGAAATTCTTATATAAGCTTTTTAACAAATTATATAAATGGTTAGAGTATGAAGTGCTCACTGTAGATGACATCATATTGTAAATTCAGACTCATTCCCCTAATTGATTGAAAAAGAGAAAGAAATATTTGTGAATATTATGGTAAAATAAGATGCAGAGTTGAACCTGTATTTATATATATATTAAGTTGTTTACTTCAAAATCAAACTATTCAGTTGTATAATTTGGGTGTTTTTTTCCCCCCTCATTATTGCATGAATTGCATGGTTGACTTAAATCTTTAATTAGAAATATGTAGATGCTATCTGCACAGAATGCATGAATCAGCATGAGGTGTTATACAAAAGTATATAGTATGATTATACATGTATATCAGTATGTTTAATTATATTATTTGCATGTCTTCTATCTTAAATTTCAATATATCTTGATAATTCAAAATGTATACCAATAGGTAATGATTTCGCACCAACATACTTTCCCTCTCATCTTGAAGCTGCACAGCATCAGATGAGTGAAAATCTGGTGTTATGTTACTTTTAATTCATTAATTTCTTCAAAGCTGCAATTGTCTCAAGATGAGTCAAAATATTTCTAGAAAATCAAACTTTAGAAAAATGTACATGTACAAAGCTTTTAAGAAAAGTAAATGATTCAAAATTCAGGTAATAATTTACATGTTATGTGTGATTAATGACTGATTTTGCAGTATTTATCATCATATTTCTACTGCGTAACTAATGCAGTAAGGGCTATTTTTTTTGCATATTTTGGCCTCTTTGCAGTATTTTATATGGATTGTAAGTGCTATTAGCAATGTGTAAATTACTTTCTTCGTTCTCTTCTCAATATTTACATTTAAATACATTTTTTAAATTTTCAGGAAACTTAATTAGTATGAATCTTGAGGCATGCTGCTTTAAAGTTAATTTAAAGAATTTTCTTTAAAAAAATTGTCATGAAATATTGCTACATTTAACAATAGTATGAAATTTCGATGAAAATGTTTCTGTGCTTTTGTTTTATTTATGATTTTTCTTAAACATTCTTATACATTGATATTAAATTTAAATATTGAATATAAATCTGTACAGAGTCCATTGAACAGGGTAGGTAACTCATGCACAAGTTTTAGTTATTATAATACAGGGGTCTGTTATATCTTAGCTGTGCTATATATAAAGTTTAAAGGCTGAAAATATTTTCATGGGCACTTTTAATACAGAACTATTTGGATATATTCTTTTGAGTAATTGGCAGTTTGTGTTTCAGTTATTGCAGTGGCTTTGGGTCAGGGGCATCAAGGGAGGTGACTACTGCCCAAATTATTTTGGCAACAGTGGCATGCAATTAGAAAAAATTTAAACTTGCTCATTCTTAAAATTTAGTGGCATTTTGAATTAATCATTGACAAAGAAGTCGAATATTAAACTGTTATTGCAATCCAAGGCAACCATGACATAAATTTTTTTCTTCAGCTATATTTCCCACTGTCTCAAATGAGTTCAGAAAGGCAAAGGGTTTTAAGAAGAAAAAAAAAATGAAAGAATTACATTGAAATAATAGGTTTTACTTAAAACATGTGTTTTTTTTTTCATTTTAAAAGTATCGTTAGGTAATTTAAGTTGTTTTTTCTTTGTAAAAAATGTATGAAAATTTGAAACTTGCTTTATGCGTACAGAATAAAATGCTTATGATTTTGATATTTCAGCCTTTAATCTGAAGGTTTACAGTATATTATGTTTTTGATTGTAAGAAATTTATATTGAGACAGACTTGTTTATTGATAGATGCTCAGTGAAAAATATGAGAATATTGCAACAGCAATGGTAATTGCGTGTTTGTGGCATTTATATATTTACTGTTTGGCAGCAGAAACAAAAGAAAATTTAACTGATATTCCAATAAAAACATATAAAATCTATGATTTGATGTTGGCTTAAGTCACAGATCACATAAAATCTCACTTTTTGCGAGAATTTACTACAAATATTTCCCCTTTCATAATTTATATGATTACATCAGCATTGTAAAGATATTGATGTAAAAACTTTATATAAATTACAAAATCATATTACATTTGTATTTGATTGTTTTATCATGCTTAGGAATGTTTTTTTGTGTGCTAAATTTAAAGGTTTTATGTTTAGCTCTTTGACCGCTAGTCTTAAGTGATTGTGGTAGGCCTATACACCATAGCATCGATTCAGGCTAAATTGATATGAAAATCAATTGTCATTAAGTACATTTTAAACATTCATTAAGGGACCGATTTTACCCCGGATTTGTGTTGATGAAAATTAGGTTACCATGATGGTCATTAAGACAACATTCATGATTGGCTAACAGTGAGTCATATGGGCGGAGCTAGCTTCATTTATTTGAAAATTACTTTTTCTCACAGATCTTTACATTCATTATATTTTTATTGATATATTTGACATTATACTATACAAAAACATGTATTATATAAGTACAGAACCGTCAGAATTGTTATATCAATCTTGCACTGGACAAGAATATTTGGCTTGTTTGACTATGTTATTGTGTATGAAAAAATTGTATTTCGTCCAATGTCTCATCTTCCTAAAAGTATTATCACAAATAAATAAGAAACAAATTAAAAATTATTCTGCTAAGTGACATTGAAACAGATTCCCCAGATATTCTTGTTAGTGCAGAAGCAGCCACAATTTGATTCCTTTATATTTTTGCATACAGGTAATTATTACATATTAATCAAAGAAAAAATGAAAACTAATATTTCTATATAGTATAATTTCATTTATATAGAAAAGTATGAATTTGAGATTTTATTCAAAATGGAAATGAAATAATGTTGATTAAAAGCAATCAACTGATCTTTACACTCAGCACATCTAAGCACTGGATTGAACAAAATGATTTACATGTATTTGTCTTTTAGTCATGGAGCTGGAACTTCTACTTTATTTATTTGAGCCGCGCCATGACAAAACCAACATAATGGGTTTGCGACCAGCATGGATCCAGACCAGCCTGCGCATCCACACAGTCTGATCAGGATCCATGCTGTTCGCTATCAGTTTCTCTACTTGTAATAGGGTTTGTAAGCGAACAGCATGGATCCTGATCAGACTACGTGGATGCTTAGGCTGGTCTGGATCCATGCTGGTCGCAAACCCATTATGCTGGTTTTGTCATGACGCGGCTCAAATTTTGATAATATTTGTAATGTTTTAACCTGTGAGTCATATTTAATTCAAAGCAAAGTCATCAATTACATATTTTAGAGGTAACTATTAATGCTTAAACCATAATT